CGGCCACGTGTCCCAGTCCTGTCGGTATCCCATTGGATCCAATTGTCTGCTGCCCTCGGCCACGTGTCCCAGTCCTGTCGGTATCCCATTGGATCGCTTGTCCCATTGTCTCTCTCCCTCTCTCTCTCTCCTCTCTCTCTTTCCTCTCTCTCTCTCTGTGGCCGATCTAATGCGCAGACCCTAGCGGCCTGTCTGATCCGAACGAAAGGCATTGTGATACATGCTGCGCATGCGATGGGTACAGTGAGCCTTCAGAGATCACTCAGCTTATCTGCAAAATGGAGAAGTATCTTCGCTAGAAGGTGGGTAGATACACCCGCCGTCGCTTTTGTTTTTCTTCACATTTGGTGGGCTGTGCGGCGAGGCCCAGATTCGCCATAGCCAGCAGTTCCTTGCCATCTCTCTCAGGGGCGAGCCAAGCTTGGCTTCGCCCTTCTCGGGTGCAGTTGGCGGGGAAACGACTGGGGTGCAGTTGGCGCGGGAAAACGACTGGGGTGCAGTTGGCGGGAAAACGACTGGGGTGCAGTTGGCGGGAAAACGACGGGGGTGAAGTTGGCGCGGGAAAAAACGGCTGGCGCGGGAAAACGTGGACGAAGCTGGAGGAAGTGGAGGCTTCCCGCTGCGCCGCACTACTGACCAAATTTGTTCAACGGCGGGTGTGGTTGTATATCTTCAGCCAGAAGATGGAAAGGAAGACACGCGGGCCATAGATTTTGTCCTTTCCATATTTGGCAAGTGGGATGGACAGAGTAATTTGCGAGACCCCGACCAGCATTGGATGCAGAGAGTAATCCGTGAACGTACTGTAGGTAGCCATATTAGGCAGCTGTGTATAGGCGAGGGAGCCAGGGAGGAGGAGGAGGAAAAGGAGGAGCAGGAGGAGCAGGAGGAGGAGGAGGCGGTATCAACAAGAAGAGGAAAAGAGCCTGGAACCCCGATCTGAAGGAGATACTGACGAACAGGCAGGTCCAAGGACAGACCCTTGAGCTTCGACGGCGCTCGTTCAAAAACCCTTTCTTTCAGCAAACCCTAAAAAAAAAAAAAAAAAAAAGCAAACCCTGATCCGAAGGAATTAGCGACAATTTTGTGTCCCGCACAGAGTGTAAGATGGCGTTGATGATATGAAGCCAGTGGTTTTTTTTTTTTTTTTTTTTTTTTTTTTTTAAAGAAAAAGAGGTGGCGTTGCCGCTCAGCAATGGGGTGCGACGGTACTCTTGCGAGGCCGAAGATGACACGTTCGGTGTCTCTACCCACCTTATAGCGGAGGGAAGTGCCAACGCTACTAGACCTATATACTTAGTAATAATAGCGGCGAATTTTTTTGTTGTTATTTTTTTTCTTCTCTTTTCTTTCCCCCCCTTCTTTTCTTCTTTTTCCTTCTTAATCCTCTTTTTTTTCCCTTTCTTCCTTACTCTCTTTTTCTCTTGTATAGAAGGACGACGACCTTGAGATACCCTCAACCTGCCCCCAGGTAATTCAGAATTTGATGACATCTGGATTCGAACTGGGGTCTGTATTTCAACAGTCCAGGGGGGTGTACCAATTGAGCCAGGCCCGTTGATAATAGTCGGCGATTTAGCAGTAAGTATATAGTGTCACATGATATCAGAGCGCCTAAGCGAAAAAACCAAAAAAACAAAAAAATCTTAAATTCGTTTTTAATCTTCTTCCTTACAACTCCCCCTGTTCAGAACCTCTTGCGTACAAGGCCGCCCACGTGGATGTAGGTTGAGCGGCGGCTGCCCCCACCCCCGTGTGTCATATCGACCCACTTGCACACAGCCAAAAGGCAAAGAGGCAAAGAAGAGAGGAAGGGAACAGCCAAACGAAACAAATAGAACAGAGGGAAACAAGACAGATCCCAGATGACAAGTCCCACATGCAAGCACCGCCCGCTCCGTCAAAGGCCAAACAACGGGACAAGACCACCCAGGACAAGACATAAAAAAGCGACGATCCACAGTGTGACAACTAAGAAAAAAAGAGAAGACAATCCTGGATGACGATTCCCACATACAGGCACCGCCCATAGCCCTAGAAGAAGAAGGAAAAAAGCCAACAGGATAGTAAGCCAGACTAGGAAAGGAAAGCCTGATTAAGTATAAGGAGTAAAGGGATGATGGATGACAGGACATCGACTGCACCAGGCATGATGGCGACCGACGCCATATACAACCCTGCACTACCGTCTTCCCCCGAACACAACGCACCCTCATTGTTGTGGATGGATGGGACCTGAAAGATGATGGCTTGTATACATTCGGTGGTATCAGGGTGCGTTCTGTTCGGGGGAAAACGGGTAGTACACACTGATCGAGTCCAAAAAAAGCCCATCATCACATCAAATCAAATCGAAAGCGGTCTTCAGAAGCCAATCAACGTGTAGTAGTCCATCACCGCGCGTTGTGCTGGAGGATGGTGGCTGGCTATGGCGGCGGCTAGCATAGCACATAGTGGAGGATGTTTAAGTACAGGACAACGCGCGAGCAACGTTGTCGTCAACATGGTGGTGGCTATGGCGGCGGCTACCATAGCCACCTTCCTCCTTCCATCTCTTCCATCTCTTCCATCTCTTCCATCTCTTCCATCTTTTCCATCTCGCTGCGGGCTGCTGTGATATGCACTGTTCAGCCAAGGCGTTGTCTATGTCGGCCGGTCATGGAAAATGGGTGCTGTGCTTTGACTAACTGGAAATGAGTGCCATCTTGAAAGGCCCGCAATTGAGTCGCTCGAAATGTGGCTATGGTGGTGGCTATGGCGGTGGCCACTATAACCATCATCATCTTCCTTCCATCTCGCTGCGGGCGGGGTGCTGATATACACTGTTCGACCAAGACGTTCTCTATGTGGGCCATGGAAAATGGGTGCTGTGCTTGACTAATTGGAACGAGTTGTGGTCACCATGGAAGCCACTCGATGGAGCCTCTCCAAAGGTGGCTATGGTGGCGGTCACCATAGCCACCACCTTCCTTCCATCTCGCTGCTGAGCTGCTGATATGCACGTGTGGACCAATACGTTCTCGACCAGGACGATAATAAGAACACATCTTCTTGTGAGGAAAAAGAAGAAAAAAAAAAGCACAAATGGGAGAAAAAAGGGGGAAATATAGTAGCACAAGACCTCTGGAACAATTATGAGAAGCAGAAACTGACAAAGCTAAGGATGACGGCAGGCACAGCTTTCCGTCCTTGCGTTCGAGCCTGTGGTCAGGTTGTTGTTCGACCCCCTGTGGTCAGGTTGTTCGACCCCCTGTGGTCAGGATGCTGGACTACATTCATCAACAAGTTACTGCGTTGTGGAAACAGTGCACAGGCTGAAGTACTTGTGCGCTCTGAAGTACTTGTCCCAAGCCGAGGAAAGAGAAAGATAAGATGGTGGCTGGGTGACGTTTTCTTGTTGGCCTCAACTGCAGACGAGCAGAAGACTCTAGTCCCCGAGCGAGCGAGCAAGTGAGCGAGCGAGGAAGATTGTTGCTGCGTGTGTGTTTGTGAGTGCTGGACAGGGGCAATCGCCACAAATGGGTGTCCTAACGAGTATGGATGTGGAGGTAAGGCAACTGGCGTCGAACGGCAAGTACCAAAGGTTGGGATCAAGGCTCTAGTCAGCGAGCGAGCGAGCGAGCAAGATTGTTGCTTGCATGCTTGCGTGTTTGCGAGTACTGGATGGGGGCAACTGCCACGAATTGTGGTCGTCCCAACGAGTACCAAGGTGGAGCTATAAGGCATCTGGTGTCGAACGGCAATTGCCACGGGTTGGGATCAAGACTCTAGTTGCTGAGAGAGCGAGCGAGATTGTTGATTGCGTCTTTGCGAGCGCTGGACGGGGCCAACTGCCACAGATTGGGATTCCAACGAATAAGGCAACTGGCATTGAACTGCAATTTACTACAGCACAGGTTGGGATCCCAATTTGCCGTTTTGTCAGAAGGAGTCTGAAGATTCTGCTTTTGGGAGGACTGGCAGTGGTGCACAGTGGATTTCTGAAGAAGAATGGCTGCTGAGAAGAGCGAAAGACCGCAGAGCCGGCCGGCGCCGATGGGAGGCAAGCGGGACGACGGCGAAGAGGAAGCTTTTCCCAGAGGTGGCGGTGATGGGTTGACCCCTTTTGAGAGGAAGAAGGCTCGTTTAGAAGCGGAATTGGAAGTGCAGGGCAGGGTGAAAAAGGCTGGCGGCAAACGGAAAGGCACAGGGAAATCCGTCAGCTTGCTGGACTTCGACGATGACGATGATGAAGGAGAGCTCACCGCCAAGCTGCTTGGAAAGCAGAAGAACAGAGTGGGATCGCTGACATTCAAGACGTTGCAGGAGGGAACCAAAATCTGGGGGGCAGTTGAGGAGATCAATGAGAAGGACATGACAGTCAGCCTCCCATGTGGTCTCCGAGCGTTTGTGAGCAAAGCAGAGGCCTCTGACGTTCTCGCGGAGATGATGGCGCAATCTGCTGCCGGGGAGCTCTCCGAGAAAGGCTCGCGAAAACGCAAAAAACTGGAAGGCAAGAAGAGGAAAGCAAAAGCAAAGCTGGCAAAGTCCGAACAAGGTGCTGCGAAGGAGGAGGGTGCAGATGGCAATGGGGAGGGGAGGGGGGAGGAGGAGGAGGGTATTGCAGATGAGAATGAGGAGGGACCCAACGATGTTGCATCGTTGAAGGACCTGTTTTTTATAGGTCAGCTTGTATGCTGTACGGTTTCCTCTCTTCGGAGGGTTGAGGGGAGAAAGAAGACATACAAACGCATCGAGGCGTCCCTGCGTTTGAAGAAGCTGTACGACGACCTAAGTATCAACTCTGTTCACGAGGGCATGCTCTTGCATGCTTGTGTGAGCAGTATTGAAGACCATGGCTTTCTGCTGACCTTCGGCGAAGGAGCCAAGCTGTCAGGTTTCCTTCTCAGAAAGGACCACACCAAAGAAGATGGCTCCCCTGGCGCTGAGCTAAGGAGAGGGCAGTTTATCCAGTGTGTGGTGTTGTCTGTCGACAAGCAACGCCGGTCGGTTCTTGTCAAATCCGACCCTGCTGTCGTGTTGTCGGCCTTGGTGAGAGAGCAGGACGAAGTGACCGTGGGATCTCTTTTCCCTGGAATGCTGGTCAATGCGAAAGTCACCGCTGTGCTGGAGGATGGTCTGCAGGTTTCCTTTCTCACCTACTTCACTGGTACCGTGGATAGGTTCCACTTAGCGGAGGAACTACCCGGGACCGACTGGGCGAAAGAGTACTCGGTGAATCAGAGAGTGCGTGCCAGAATCTTGTACATCGATCCCACCAGTAAGCACATCGGTCTGAGCTTGAACAAGCAACTTGTGGCCGGCAGTGTTCCCACGCTGCACGTTTCTGTCGGGCAGGTTTTCCGGAAAGCTGTGGTTCAAAGAGTGGAGCGAGACGTCGGGTTGTTGCTGGAGCTTGTCTCGAAGCCAAAGCGAGCAGTAGGGTTTGTCCATGTGTCAAATGTGTCCGATGATCGGATCGATAATCTTCAAGTTAAATACCAAGTGGGGAGCGTGGTCGCTGCCCGAGCGATTGGCGTTCGATGGATGGATGGAATTGTTAATGCGTCGATGAAGAAGTCCGTGGTCGAGAAGAATCTTATGATGTACTCTGAAGTGAGGCCTGGGATGGTTATACAAGGAACTGTCGTGGCTGTCGAGTACTTTGGCGTTCTCCTTGAGTTGTCACAGCACGTTCGAGCCATTTGCCCCTCAGAACATCTGTCGGAGGTGCGGTTGAGCAGGCCGTCAGCGAAATTCAAGGTCGGCATGAAGATGACCTGCCGCGTCCTGACTTGCAATCCGGAGCAGAAGAAGGTGGAGGTCACGTACAAAAAGTCAATGGTGAACTCGAAGCTTCCGATCATCGCAAGCGGTGAAGATGCTGAAGAGGGAACCGTTTCACACGGATTTGTCTCGGGTGTCACCGACTATGGAGTGTTTGTAACTTTCTATAATAACGTAAAAGGACTAGTCCACAAGAGCAATCTGGGTATCGATGCGAGGAGCCTGCCCGAGGAATGCTTTAAGAATGGGCAGGTTGTGAAGGCTGTGGTTTTGAGTAGGGACGATAGCGGTCGCATTCAGCTGAGCTTCCTTACATCTCAAAGCCTAATTCGTGCGAAGATGATGGAAGACAACTGGTTGGAGGCAGGCACCGTCGTCACCGGGGTCATCGCCGATGTCACAGAGTTCTCATTTCTGGTTGACATCATCCGCCAAGATGGTGGCATCTCTGGCTGGAGGGGGGTTCTGCGCTTTGAGCATCTTGCAGATCATGCAGAGCATGTTAATCCCTTGCGGCAGTTGTTGAAGAAAGGCGTGAGTTTGGAGGAGTTGCTGGTTCTAGGGAAGGACCCGAAGAAGCGTCTTGCGGAGCTGTCTGCAAAGCACGCCCTTGTCTCCTCAGCGAACTCGCTTGTGAAATGCCGATCGGAACTTCAGTTGAACACCTTTTGCCAGGGTTATGTGAAGAACATTACGTCAGTGGGGGTCTTTGTCTGCTTTCTGAATCACATAACGGGGCTGGCGCGCATGAGTTTGCTTGCCGATACGTTTGTGACTGATCCGGAGCAACACTATCAGGAGGGGCAAACGGTACGTGCGCAATTTGTCGAGTTCGACGAGGAGAGGGGTCGAATCAAACTCAACCTCAAGCCTTCTGTGTGTCCATCCGTCGATGCCTCCTTGCTCCGAGCATACTTTATCGAGCAGGCAAAGATAGCTGAGCTGACTGTGAGAGCTGGAGGCAATGGTGACCTCTCGCTCCTGAAGACCTTCCCGATCGGCAGTTTGGTGGATGGAGTTATCGAAGAGAAGAAAGAATATGGCATCATTGTGAATCTCCCACAGCATGAGGAGGTGGTCGGATTCTTGACGCACTTCCAAGCGGTGAGTGATGTGAGAATTGGCCAGAAGGTGAAAGCGCGTGTGTTGGATGTCACGGTGGTCGATAACATTGTGGACCTGAGCCTAAGAAACACCACTGCTGCGAGTGGCGGCGACACCGATAAGGTTCAGAAGAAGAAGAAAAGGAAGAAGGATGAGGAACTCGCCTCTGCGCAGGAGTCAAATGCTAGGGCAGCTCCAAAACTGTTTGAAGTTGTGAAGGTGGAAGTCGAGCTCGTTAAGAACGAGTACCTCGTCGTTTCTCTGCCTAACCATGGTGGCGCTATCGGATTCGCTGCCACCCACGATTACAATCTGCGGAATGTGGATGCCCATGAAGTTTTCTGGCCGGGGCAGAGATTCAAAGCTATCGTCCAAAGCCTTGCGGATGAGCGGTCGGGCGGCCGGATGCTTCTGCTCTTGACACCAAGCGTTCTTCGAGAGGTTGTGCAAGGCATCGGCGACGCCAGAAAGAAGGAAGCAGCGATAGAAGCGGCGGCAGAAAAGAAGCGATCTTCTTATTCTGTGGATCAGATTGTCGAAGCAAAGGTTACCAATATTTCAAACTCCTTCATGTTATGCAAAGTGGATAAAGGCGTCTTTGCCGACATCCATATCACACAGGTGCGGGACGAATATGGTGACGGCGAAAATCCGCTGAGCGCATACGCAGTTGGGCAAACGGTTAGAGGGCGCGTTTTGAAAGTAAAGGAGGTTGCGTTGAAGAAAGGAGAGAAGCAGAAGAAGGGCAAGAAAGGGTTCCGGAAGATGGAGCTTACTCTTTCTCTGCGCGATTCCGATGTCAACCGTACAGGTGGCAGCGATCGTGTCAGCAATCTCCCGGAAGCTCTGGATGATGTGCAAGCGGATAGAGTGCTGATCGGGTACGTGGAGAGAATTGTGGACAAGTGGGCTTGGTTGGTCGTCTCGCCGAAAGTGGTCGGTGCACTGCATAAGATGGAGTCGTCGGTGAAGCTTGAAGAGATTGATAGTTTCCCGGACAAGTTCACGGTCGGAAAGTCGGTGAAAGTACGCGTCCTCGAAATTGATCACGAGCGTAGCTGTCTCACTTTGACAGCCCGAGGAGCGGATGGCCCCTGGCAAAAGGGAGCGGAGATCGTAGGGCACGGCTTCCGCAAAGGCGAGGTGGTGTTTGGGGAGGTCGTCAGAGTGAGCAGCGACAAACTAATTGTCCGGATGCCGAGGAAGGGATACGGCTGTGTAGATATCACAGAGCTGGATGACGATTGGAGAGACTCGCCCTTGCAGGGATTCCAAGAGAATCAGATTGTGCAGTGTGTTGTTCTTGGGATGGACGAAATGGACAGAAAGGAAGATGACAGTCAATACCTGGCACTCTCACTACGGCCTTCTCTAGGAGGATGTGGTGGGAAGCAGGCGAAGCTGCACCGCACCACCAAAGTGTCCTATCATGTTCCGCGGATCGAGTCGGTTAACGATGTCAAGATTGGCCAGGAGGTTTGGTGCGTGGTCAAATCACCCTTCGGCCGAAATGGCTGCTGGGCTCACCTTGCAAGGAATATCAATGCGCACGTGCAACCGGCGACAGCCGATCAAGAGAGAGATAGTGCCGTATTCCCGATCGGGAAAGTTGTCAAAGCAAGAGTGAAGTCCATCAACCTGTCTGCCAACGAAGTGGAAGTGGAAAGCGTGAGGCTCCCTCCATCAGCCGGCGGCAAATCTGAAGCGGGTGCGAGGAGCCGAGGTGGTGGTAAAGAGGAGAGGCCCAAGGTTGACGCCTTCGTAGTGGGGCAGCTTGTGACAGGCTCAGTGCAGAAGATTGACACTTTCGGTGTTTTTGTTAAACTAGACGGGATCAATGTGGTCGCTCTCTGCCATATATCACAAATCCGCGATGAATTCATTAAAGACTTGCGGGAACAATACAAGGTTGGCGATCGCGTCCGTGCAACGGTCACTAAGCTGGAGGTTGAGAAAGGGCGCTTGTCCCTTGGGATGCTGGAAAAAGATGAGCATGCTACTACAAACATGGAGGTGGTGGAGAGTGTTAAGACGAAGGGGACTGCCAACGGTGTGAGCATGGACGTCGAGGAGGAGGAGGAGGATTCAGAGGGTTCCGACGAGATGGAAACTGATAATGACCAGGATGAGCAAGGCAGTGATGAAGAAGGTGATTCGACAGATGATGATAACAGGGTCGTGCGAACGGTGAACAAGCGTGCTCCGGATGCAAAAACCACAGGAAACGGCGAGGAGACTGCCACAGTCGCACCGTTGGATGTCGACGACTTTGGTGTACGGGGAGATGAAAAGGCAGCTGCTAGTGATGGGGAGGAGGCAATGAGTGAGGAAGACGACGATGAGAAAACGGAAGACGGTGGTGCGGTTAGCAAGAAGAAGAGCCAACGAGCAAAGCGCAAGGCCAAGGAGGCACAGGAGGCAGCTATCCAAGAAGCAGAGAGAAAGCGATTAGAGGGAGAAGGTGCTCCACAGAACGTGGACGAGTTCGAGCAGCTGGTCCGGTCGTCGCCGAACAGCAGCTTTGTGTGGATCAAATACATGGCACACATGATCACTCTTGGGGAATACGACAAGGCCAGGGCAATCGCGGAGAGGGCCTTGAAGGCGATCAACTATCGCGAAGAGGGGGAAAAGATGAATCTGTGGGTCGCGTATCTGAACCTGGAGAATATGTATGGAAATCCTCCCAAGGAGGCTGTACTTAAGCTGTTCCAGCGAGCCTTGATGTACACGGACCAGAAGAAGCTGTATATGGCACTGATCGGCATCTACGAGCGCACGGAGCAATGGGAGATGACCGATCAAATCTTTAAGACGATGACGAAGAAATTCAACACCAGCGCGAAGGTCTGGGTGCGCAACGTCACTTGTTTGCTGAAGCGCGGAATGGGCGACGCTGCAAGAGCAGTGCTGGAGCGGTCGCTCTTGAGCCTGCCTAAACGCAAGCACATCAAAATGATATCGAGGGTGGCGCTCCTGGAGTTTAAGATGGGCTCTGCAGAGAGAGGGCGGGCGATGATGGAGGGGATTCTAAAGAATTTCCCGAAGAGAGTAGATCTCTGGAGCGTTTACCTTGATCAGGAAATCAAGCAGGGTGATAAAGGGGTTGTGCGGGCCCTGTTCGAGAGGGTCATCTGTTTGGATCTGCCTCCCAAGAGAATGAAGTTCTTGTTCAAGAAGTACCTCGACTTCGAGCGAAACCATGGCACTTCGGAGGGAGTGGAGCATGTAAAGGCGAAGGCGATGGCTTACGTAGAGAACAAAATAGGCTTGTGACAGAACACGCAGTTGCTGTCCTCTTTTGTTTTTCCTTCTTTTTTTTTTTTCGCTCACCTCTCTTTTCTTTTCCTTTTCTCTCTCCACCCCCCCCCCTTTCCTTCCCCGGTTCTTTGCACTTTCTTTCCTAAACTGGTAGGATGTGGAGTAGAGTGGTGATTGTACTCCTGCAGCAGCTTGTTCTTTCCGTTTGCAGTGCGGGAAACTTAAGCTGCGGCCTGAGAGATCTTTCAATTTGGGGGTACCCTGGTGGAGTACAGTGGTGATTGTACTCCTCCAGCAGCTTGTTCTTTCCGTTTGCAACGCTAGGAACTTAAGTTGCGGGCCGAGAGATTGAATTTGGGTTGCAGAGTTATGTAACATGTTGAGGAGGGAGTTGGTGCGTGAGCGAGCAAGTCGAATTGTGTAGTTGTGGTGTGTGGTGATGTCACCATGCACCGAAGTTTTGTCTCGTGGGTTGCGACCGAATACATGGTGGTTGTCCTTTTCTGTTGTTTCCCCTCTTATTCTTTTCCTTTCCTCTTTTGGTTGTTTCTGCTTTCCTTCCTGGACTGTTAGGATTCGGAGTATAGCGGTGATCGCACTTTGCCACGATACGATTGAACGAGAACCAAACGGACGCAGGAAATGATGGAGGAGGTCCTTTGCTAGAGAAGCTTGTTCTTTTTCATTCGCAATGTGGGGAGCTTGAGTTGTGGCCTTGAGAATCAGTAGAGATTGAACTTGGGAGGCAAGAGTTATGTAACATGTAGAGGAGGAGGGAGGCAGGGTGTGAGTGAGCAAGTTGAAGCAAGTTGAGTTGTAGTTGCGGTGTATGGCGATTTCACCATCACCGAAAGCATTGCCGTGTCTAGACAATATAACAACGGTCAGTGGGCCGCAGGGTTTTGCTGCGCGCCGATGGCTGTGGTTTTCCTGCTGTTTTGGCCGTCGGATCTTGATTTTGTCGGTGGTGATTATTGCAGATGGTGATTTTATCAATTTCTCTCCCACGCCTAATTGCGCGCCACGTTGACGTTTTGTGTTAGGTTTTCGGAGATAGGTGGTCATTCCCTTTGACGCATCGCCATTGAACCGGCTCTCCTTGAGCGGCGGGGGCATCGAGAGGCCAACCGTGTCAGTCGTTGCAGAATTCTCTGTGTTGCGTCGCTGTTTCTCTTTCCTGTGTTGCATCGTCGTTTGTTTTTTCCATTTCTCTTTTTTTTTCTGTTTGTTCCGTTGTCGTTTCTCTTTTCCGCACTGCGAATGTCAGAAGAGGAATCCTGGAAGAAAAAAAAAACAAAGGAAGAAGACAACATTTCCACACTACGATAGTGTCAAACAGGAGATCTCATCATGGTCTCGTGTTGGGCCTCTCTCCACTGCACAATATTCTAAATGCATCGGGCGCTGCAGAAGCCCGGGTTCATTCAATCTGTTGGGTCAGGCCACATGTATATGGGCTACTGCATAGTCCACATACATGTGGAGTGCTGTGTAGTGGAACAAGGCCTGCTTTCACGTCAAGGCGTGCCCTTCTTCTTGACTGTTTTTTTTTTTTTGTCCTTTTTGAAAGTGTCACGGCCATATGATCAATGAACTGGTTAGCCCCTGGAAAATTGTTCGACTCATGTCATTCAGCAGGCTTCAAATCGGGGTCCATTACTCAGCAGTTGTGCGCTGTACCGTTCAGCCACATGGGCTAGGTTGTTCTTATTCCTCCTCGTGGTCTCAGCCGCCATAACAACCGGAGACACACACATACGTGTTATGGTGGAGAAGCAACGCACACACACACC